TGAACATGCTTCTGAAGCAGTCGGAGGATATAGTGGCAGAAACCACCTCCAGCTTGTGCTTCTCCATCACACAGAGGATGGTGGAGAAGAGCCCCGGTTTCCTGGAAGTGCAGACGCTGATGTGTGCGTCCTCTCCGGTCACGCTCAGCACCACATTGGGCGAAGACCAGGTCTGGAAGGATTGAGGGAACCGGGTGACCGACACAGCCGTCGGAGAGTTCATCGCCGCCGGCCAGAACTTGCCATGATCAGCCAAGAACGCTTCCCTGTTGGTGTCTGACGCTTGCGATTGCAGCGCCGCTGCCGAAGAAGGCTCGTCGTAGACGACGCCTCCCGTTCGTTCTTGTTTCTTCTTCTGGAGCTTCTGAAGGTTTTGCTGGAGGGTCTTGATGTAGTTCACTGCTTCGTCGACGATCGTTGATTTGTCGGCCTACCCACAAACAAATCAAAGGGGATCAACTTGGAGAAGCTATGCGTTTGACGTGCATGTAAGGTTATTGGCACTGCTCTGCATTTATTGCAGAACCTCAAGCAAACGCGTCAATTCTCTATCTTTCTCATTCGCTCGCTCACTCATTGTTCGCATCAGTACACCAATGCAGTCTACACTTCTCTGTCAGAGACTGCGGCTCGCTATGAAACGTATACCAACCGATCTCCACTTCTCTTCTTGCTATGACTACTAACAAGAACAGAGATGCTAACCAGACAAAAATGCAAAACCATCACTTCTTGGAATCACTGGAAACAAACAACTCATACAATCAGATCCAAAAGAAGCATAACAAAAGCTTAGTAGGTACCTTTGGTGGTAACTGCGGAAGAAGGGCATGAAGACTAGAGAACATGTTCCTCATCTTCTTCCTCCTTTCTCTCTCAGTCCAGATATGCATCTCGTGGTCCGATTCCCCGACACCGCCTTTCCCCTCGGAGGAGCCCTTCGATGCCCCATTGTGAGCCCGCTTCTCACCCATCAATGGCACAGGACCGGGGGGACTGTTCGAGCACGAACGATCCGGTGCTCGAGTTGCAGCCACCTTTACATTGCACCCGCCGTCGGAATTCTCCGTGTTGGAGAATATCCAGTGTTGGTCATCGTGCCCGAGCCCCACTCGATCTGCCCCTCCCCCACCGTCACCTTCTCCTCCTGCCGCTGCTCTTCTAGACATGGAGTGGAATGCAAGAAAGTGAGAGAGTGGGACAGAAGAAGAGGAGGGAGAGGAGAAGGGTGCTTAAAAAGGTGGCGGGATTGGAAGGTTGCAGTGGGTGAGAAGAAAGATAAAGCAGAACCTGCGTTGTTGGGTGGTCGGAAGCGCCCAAAATACAATCATAAGACGGTGCCGTTATTTGGCGTCCGACAAAAAACGGAAACAAACGCGCACTTGAAAGATTTGCCCAAACCCAGTGGGCCCGCTCAACTCTCCTCCCTCATTTGCCATCACCTTCTCCCACGTATTTACCGAACGGACACTTCAATCCCCTTTTCTTTTACGTGGCTGCTACCTCACAAAATTACGCATATATCCTTCCATAATGTTCTCCCTTTGATATTTAAGTCTACGAGGAATGAAAAATAATTTTATATGTAATTTGCTTTTCATTGGTTAATTTGGGGGCAAAATGGAGGAATACAATGATAGGAGGGTGGCTAAGAAGTAATTATGGAGGGCTAAGAAGGGTTTAGTGAGGGAAGAAAGGGAGTATAACGCGTCACGCTCCCGCGCAAAATGCAACCACACAAGCAATGATTTAGCCGTTATCTCTCTGTGCCCCATCAAACAAATCTGGCACTGCAACCGCCGCTGGTTTTCTCGTACTTGTACCACTTGAATATACGCGTCTCGCGCGTACACGCTCGGGTACCTGCCTATCGTTGGCCCCACTTATGGGTGCCACATGGATGTTGTCACATCTCAAATCAACGTTGCACGTAGGTCGAGCGAATCACTGTTTCCGCCTCATTAAGAAAACCTTGTTGCCTACTGTTTTGGTGACATAACGTAAGTGACGAGAAAACATGGATTAATGTACTGAATTGGAATAGGCACAAAGCATGGATTTTTCTCGAAATCAATTTATGATTGAAGACAGAGCATGGTCGGGTTGACTGGTCAACACAGGGCACGGTCCACTTGCTGGGGGTCAATATCAGATCAGGTCAGATTAGAGCCTGATCGATTGCTTTTAGATTAGCGTCATCGAGCCCAATGCGGTCGGCCCGTTTCCACCGCTTCCTAGAGGCATCTCAGGTCCAAGTTGTCCTGATGTTGAATGACTTCCCAGAACAGAGCAAAGCATGTGTAGTCCACATCAGAGAACAAGCCAATTCGATCTCCAACTGAGACAAAGTGACTGGAGCTGCAATGACAAGCCAAAGTTTCTTCGTTATGAAACCATTAGCATGGTGGAAGATCTGAAGAGAACAGGATGAATCCTAGCAATTAGAGAGAAGAAAGGGGAGAGGTAGCTCTGAGGTTGGAAAAGGCAACACTATGCTGAGGACGAAGATGGTGTATATTGCTTGGACTCTGTCGAAGTTGACTGTAGAAGATGATGCGACTGTTGCTATGGAGAAAGCGGAGAAAAAGGCGATGGAAGAGACGAAGCTAAAGAGGAAGAAACATAGTAAGAACTTGCACTGTTTGAGGTCATGGAAGATGTGGAATGCGATGCCGCCGCCATGACAGGTGGCAGCGGACCGAGACGAGCGTCCTCGGGAAAGTTAAGCTTGGCTTTGCTGCCCCTGAACCGGAGGGCGGCTTCGTCGAACGCCCGGGCGGCGGCCTCGGGAGTCTCGAAGGTGCCGAGCCACACGCGGGCCGCTCTGTGTGGGTCTCTTATCTCCGCCACCCACTTGCCCCACGGCCGCTGTCGAACTCCTCTGTACTTTCTTCCCGCTACTTGCTCTCTCAGTCCTGTGGCGGAAGGGTTGGCCTCGTCTGTCGCCGGAGCTGGAATCGCACTAGTTTCTTCTGTTCGGTACTGCTTCAACACCGGGCCTCTCATCGACTCATCCGCCACCCTCTTCTGCCCACCGATGCCACCCTGACCACCCCACGAGAACGAGAACGACGGAGTAGCGCTTAATGACCTCTCCATCACTTCTGTTGCATCGGCACTCTCTCCTGCAACAACTCGCATCAGAGCCGCCACCGTCACCGACGTCTCCCACGCTCGTCCGTCCTCGGTGCACAACCTCACCGGTGCTACCTCCGAGCCCATCACCACCATCCTCGTCACCGCGGCTGGCGGCGGAACGAACTCGCCGAGTTCATCGTCCGAGTCCCGTGGAACGTTCGCCAGCTTGAACCGGTTCATGCAGATCCCAAGAAGTTTAGTTCAACCATCTGAAGTCGACGTAGACGAAGGCAAGCGACACGAACAGCTATAAATTCACACAAAGGACATCAGACACTAGCGATTCAAAGTTGTCGTCGTAGTCGTCGCCATGCATTGGGCTGCAAAAGTTCCGTGGTATGGATTTGACTCGGTCCCATCTAATCCTTGAACTGGCTTGGCCTTCAATATAACCATGATTAAGAAGTATGGCCTCAATCCACTTGGCCAATTCAGTGACAAGGTCAAATCATGTATTATCTTCTACATGCTGAACACAAACATAATTCTTTGACCACCATTAAAGAATATAAGAGGTGGTCAAATAAATGGAGCTATTCCATGCATCAACTGCTGATCACATAGTTCTTTAATCATGGTGACATGTGGGACAAAGCCACTGCATTTTTAACAGCTACATTAATTGACCCAACATTCTTTAGGAGATGTTTACACCTGAAAAGAGTGCAAGGATTACATCAGTGACCAAACCTTGAAATCATAGAAATTGATTAGCATAACACTTTGTGACTGCAAGGCAAATTTGAGGTGGACAAGATGGATTAGCATAACAATGGCTCCAAAAGGAAGTCAGTATCAATCTGTCATGGAGCAGCCAAGACACCCTCTGAAGGACTTTTCTTCACAACAAGAATTGGATGGGCAATAAGATATTTAGTTGGGTAACAATTATAACAAGGTTTTATTAAGTTTGTATCATTTATCTCTCACCTGCAATCATGTATACAAAACACTAATAAAATATTTACTTGAATTTTATTATTGAAAATGATGAGCAACTTGATAAAAAATATTATTTTAAGTATAAAATTTCAGAAAGCTTGATCAAGATATTATTCATAAAAAAAAAAGATGATTATGATTACAAGAAGTGTAGAAGTCTTATATGTTTATTGGATATATAAATTTTATAAGATAGTTATTATGCTAACTTTATGGATAACTCGTAAAAGAAAATTTTGTATCGATAAGAATACTACGATGAATACATGGAGTTATTAGAAAAAAAATACTAAAAAATTATTCTTATCAGTATGTAATTACTCATGAACAGAATTATCTAAAATTGTATGAGAATAATTAAAGAAAATATATAACTATTGTTGCTGGAAGAATCAAAACAACCAATAGTAATGTAATGAAAGAATGTGGGAGGGTTTAAGAATATTTTACTATAATCCTTAAATAAAGATTTAAATGTTGTATTAACTAAGGATATTGCTCTTATCAGAGTTCAATAGCTACAAAATTAACATAGCTTACTTAAATAATTGGAATATTAAGATTTTATTATCATGGACATATTCGAGAACTAAAAAAACATTTACTTGATTTAGGGGGCCAATACACACACACACGCAAAAGACAAACTTGCACCACTCTCTCTCGACCTTTTTGTTTCGCCTCCTTCTTGCTTCGAGTCGACTCAAAGGACCGGCCAATAAACCGTTGCGGACCGGAAAAAAGGCTTCCTACGGTGATTGAACCCGCGGTCGGCTCACCAAATCAGCGCCCAAGTTCCTTTAGATTCGCATTTTTGTGTTTTAATTGTCGTGCAGATGGTTGATGGCCTGATGAAATCAGGGTTCGGCTCGGCTTGGGCTGTGACGGGTCGATCAGGTACAATCACGGCCTATTTAACTGGAGGAGACGCGAAAGAAGAGCCGAGGCCGGACGCCGGAAAAAGGGGCGGGAGCTCAAGAGCCCTTCTCCTCCTCCTCCTCCTACTCCCCTGTGGAATAAGTATCGATACAAGTTGGTCTTGCCGCTCCATTACGGGAGTGTTCTTGTTTGAGGTAATCGATCTCTTTCAGCTGTTTTTCTTTCTTGGCGCATTTCACTATGCTGGTTCTTGAAAGATTTGTGGCTAACTTGAGCATCAGTACCTAAAAACGCACAGAGTAGGAATATTGATTTTATTGATAGGATAGCGGCAAGATCATTCGTGATGTTGTCCATCGAAGGCTTCCTATTTTAGGGTATGGAGGTCTTTTAGGCCTTAGTCTTCATATGTTGTGAACTAACTGAAGGAGTTAGAAAGTGTAATCGGCGGGAACTTGGTAGGAACAGAACTAGGTTGCACTTTTAACTGGTAAGAACAGGTTATGAACAACACAAGAGATGTCAAATATGTTGCACACAAAGTCTAATAAGATCTTGCTGCTGTTTCTAAGTAGCACCTCTTAGGTCTGCATCTGTCTTCCGGTTCAACTGCTTTGCATTAAAATTATCCTGATTAATAAGACAATATAAAATGGTTTATCATTTAGTGGCAGTACTCATATCAGGAGCAGCAATCTGAAGACTATTATGCCCATAGCCCTGTGACCAGAGATAAGAACCTTCCCTTCTGAACTATCCATTTCACTGTTTCGGTGCATTTGTGCATTGTTTTTTCAACATGTCCTAATCACCATATATGCACCTTTCTCATTGTGCTCTATCCGTTGAGTTTCTAGTTGTTTCTAGTTGCTTATGGATATGATCATGTTCCCTTCTGAGTTGTCCATCTTAGTACCATAATCATTTTTACTTCATTGTTACAAATTTATTTATCCTAAGGAGTCAATGGCTCATGCAAAATTTAAGATGTTCCTTTCAGTTACGACTATTTTATTTTACTGTGTGCAATCTCTTCATCTCGTTTCCTAATAGCTTCCTACTTTGTTTTTTTTGGGTGTAATTTGAAATTTTAGATCTTAAAATGTTTGATTGTAACTTTCATTTTGAATGTGCCTTTGCTGTTGTTTCATCAATCAAATGTCATCGTTAGCAAACATCATATGCCATGAGATTTTCTTTTAAATGGCTAATAAGTATCCCTTGCAAATGTTAACAGTCTACTTTTATTTGTTAATTTTTTGAGAAAAAAATATACATCATGGAATTTTGTTTCAAATATGTCATATAATCTTATTTTCTCTGAAATATATGCGACATGCTTTTCTGGTGATAACATTTTATAAAAATACTTATGTGCATCAATATCATGATATTCCCTAAATATCCAGTTCTTCCTCACTTCAGCAAGGTGATATTTGTTTTCCAATTTGAACTAAAGTTGCATTTCTTGATAAAGTTGCACTCTTCAAATGTGTTTTTTGAATATTATACACATTTTTATATGTTATGTCAAAAAGAGTTTAGGATCCTTTCTTCTAAAAAAGTTAATTTTTTCCCTAAACAAGTAATTAATCACTTATGATGAACCATCTGTTTTGAGCTGTTATTACCTAGTAATCAATAAACTTGGTCATCCTTGAGATTTTTATGTATAGATGTGTTGAAAAATCTAACCATACTTCGAACTTTTCTTATTCATGTTATTGTTTCTTGCTTTTTTTCTGGTGTGAAAGGAAAAAGGTTAGGTTTTGAGTGCTGTTATTTAGTCACTGGACATTGATAGCATATGTGTCAGTGAAATTCCTGAGTACTATAATTTGAGTATTCTCAGCTACTGTCAATGAGCATCTTATAAAATACTAACCTGCAGCCTAAATTGAAGTAGACATGCAACATGGACTGAAATTTCTATTTTCCATGATGGAACTTATTATGACTTGAAGCTCTAAGAGAGTATATATTAATAAATAATGTCCCATGAGAAAATGTCAAAACTATTTCCATTTTTGGGGCCTCTGTGGACTGGAATAATTAGTGTAAAGAAACTAGTGAGGGCACTAACACTCTAGTTATGCCTAAAAATTGTTTCTAGTTTAAAGAGCCAAAAGTCCATGTTTAATTATCTACCATATGTTTCTAGTATGACTATTTTTTTATTTCTTTTGGCCTTATCTATAGAAATCAAAACTGCTATGTATTTGCTTTATGAAAGTATATGTATATGCAGGCCAATCCATTTCAAGAGCATCCTCTTTAAGTGCACAAGCTTAACATAAATCAGGACAGGAACTCAATTCGGACACAATGAAGCATAAAGAAGTAAATATCTACCATCTTATCCACAAAGTCAAGCATGGATACAAGATATTATCAGCCAACAAAGCATTGAATCTGTCTCAGTATCATATTGTTGCTAGTATTCTTGGGATTGGGATTGGGATGACAGGCTTGTACATGGCACTGCAAGAAAGGAATATTGGTAGTTTATATCTACCATGGATGACAGGGGGAAATGATTCATCTGAGATCATATATGTGGCTGGTCTAAAGAATCTTGGGAACAGTTGCTTTCTTAATGTAATATTACAGGTGAGTTCCTTTACACCACCAAAGCAATTTTTTAAAATGTATGTTGATGAATGTAACATTACAGGTAAGTCCCATTACATCATAAAGCAATTCACAATTTGTATGTTGATGTTCATGAATGCTTCACTGATGGTTGTGCCAATTTGAAACGTTTGAGGAAACAAAATTGAAAACTTAACAGTTTAGCTTGAGAACAGCATGGAATATTGTCATATACCACTCTTAGTTTATGAATCTATAGCAAGGTGCTTACTTTAAACTGAGAGTTGCACTAGTTCACGCTTGCATAATACTTTTCAGGATCATGTAAAAAGAATTATTTTATTATTATCTTGAAAATTTGAAAATCTATATGCGCTAATGGCACAACCTTATGCGTTCAGTTCATTGCAAGTGATGCCTACAAATGCATTCTACATCAATTCTATGCATTACACACTTAAATTTGCCTCTTATTTACCAGGTATATTGTGAATACTTTGTTAAAATTTCTATTTTTATGTAAAAGTAGTTTGAATGCTTACACTCCCAAATGCATAATTTACTAAATTTCCTGGAGGGCTTGAATTGTTGACACATTTGATACTTTCTAAGTCATGATATTGATGCCATTTTTTAGTGCCTTGAATCACTATTGCAACAACGACAAGCCATAATGTATGAACTATTTGGGTTCGACTGTATGGACTTATTCGTATGATTGAGGTTTGTTAAGGGAATTAAATCACAGAATATTGCTAATTTTAGTTTGTACATTATGAGGATTCAGTTTGGGGTTAGCTTTTAAATAGTCTGGGATGGTAAGCCCAATTCGCAGGGTTACCAGGCGGTAACGTTTGTACCGACCCAGATCGCTGTAAAAGGAGAGGTCTGCATCCCAGTACATGTCGGGATCAATAAAACTAGTTGATATGTATCTGTTTGGACGAAATTGCAGTTTCTTAATAGAGCATCACTAAGAGTACTAGGAGCTCTATTTTCAAAGATTTCTGAATGAATATGCTAAGTTTTTATCATCTGGAAGTGTTGATCGAACTCTATAAATTGATTTACTTACGGTCTTAAGCCAACACCAACACGTACTTGGACTTTCTTCCAGGTCATTTATGATCACTTAGTGCATTTTCAATCAAATGTTTGGCTAGTTATGGTTCTAAGCTGCATTTAAGGTTCTATTACTTTTTCATTATAATTGCTGTTTCTAATTGAAAGTTATGAAACTATTTTTTTTGTAGGCACTTGCCAGCTGTAGCTGCTTTGTTTCCTTTCTTCGAAATTTATTGGTTATGGATGTTGAATCAATTGAAGAATATATGCCGCTTCTTGTTACTTTGACAACATTGTTAGAAGGTAAAATTACTAGGGGGTATACTATGTTGTAACCATGGTTTTTAATTTTATCTGGACCAATATATATTAGGCAGTATTTATTGGTCCGAGGCTGAATTGACACATGGACGAGGCTTTTTTGTCCATTTCAATACAGTTTCCAGCCCTCCCCTTTTAGTTGTTTTTTTTCAATAAGACACTTCGTCTTTTCATGTCCTCACGTTCTCTCTCTCCGCCCCCTTGATCCCTGTTCCTTATGCTGCCTGTCACTGATCCCCATTCCTTCTCTTGCCACCACCTTTTCCTCCAACTCCTTCGCCTGCTTTTCCTCCTCTTCGTGTTCTCGTGTTCCTCCGAAATTTTAATGATGGTTGTAATGTATCCAAACCCCTATCCATTATCTGATAGGTTCCAGATGGATCAGTTCTTGGATTTGGTGTTTTATTAGTGTTATATCTCCCTTCATCTGTGATAGATATTTCATACTTCTAATGTTTTTATGACCATTTAAAGTTTAATATGTGTTATTGCCTAAATTGTAGCTTAAAGTTAATGTGCAATTCATTACAACTTCCAAATTAATTTTGGTTACCTATTGTTTAGATCTATGTATTATTCATGATGAAAGGACTATTTTGGATCCACGAAAAGTGATGCTCGCCTTGAGCTTTTATGTTAGCAGTTTCAAGTTAACTAGACAACAGGTAGTGGTTAAACAGCTTTCACATTCAAAGACTTCACTCATTGTCTAATCAGCATGTACGGATTTTTGTCTGGGTTGCCTTCTCTTTTTATGTAGGATGCTGCAGAAGCATTTCTTCATCTTTTATGTTCTGTGGAAGAAGAAGTTTTACAGTGTTATGCACCACATAGCAGTTCTCTAGCGGAAATCACTGGTCTTCCTTCTAGGATACATAAGCCAAAGAGCAAAAGCCATACAGACTATGAGCAATGGAGAAGGTATATTTATGGGCCATTTGATGGAACAGTTGGAAGCATATTAACTTGTAGAAGCTGTTCATCCATGGTAATGGCCTTTCATATCTTGGATGATGATTATCGGGTTCTGTATGTACCATAGTTCAATTATGTGAAGTACCTAAAGTACTTGCTATTGGAGTACATAAATATTTCTATGCAAAACACAGTTATATTTCTTTGACCTTTTGAATTTTATTTTTCTTCAATTTAACCGTTTAGATGCACAATTTTTTGTTAGATTTATACCTGTTTGTGGAATTTGTTGATAGCCAGTTATTCTGCATTCCAATCTGCACTCAGATGTATGTATGTTTAGTCTGTTTATTTTTGTCTGCAATCTACATAATGGGTTCTCTCAAGTTTCAAGTCTATAATTTTTGCTTCTTTTTTTAGGTTTTGTCACTTAACAGTAGACAAAAGCTTCGAGTTCAAACATGAACATTTCATAATCATTCCAAACACAACTGGGGCAAAAGTTCTTGCAAATATGTACTCCAGAAAGTGGTAAAATACTACTCTAATTCTAATTTAATTGAGCAACCCACTTCACGATTTCCTACCAAATCTAAACTCTTGGTGGCAACATATAGCTCACTTTACAGCGTATAATTTATTGAGACAAACTCAAATCAGATCATGTAAATCTCTAAAATAAGACAAAAATAAGGCTGAAAATATTAAAAAAGAAATGATGACTGTTCTTATCTAGTGGATTACAATCTAAGACCCAACATCTTCTTGTCCCATGAAATTTATGCCCTAGAACCCTAGAGATCTGTAGCTCAATTGTGAAACTCTCCAAACAAGTGTCAAACAATTCTTTCCTTGGAACTGTATGTCAGCCTTTTGTAGATGACTTGCAAAGAATAAACCATCAATTCCAATGCTTATTATTTATGAGGGTTATGCAGGACAATACAATGCTTGAATATAATTGTCTCATTTCATGCTAAACTTGCTTTTTGTCATTGTAAGGATTTAATATTTAATGCTGTAGTGGATGACATCAGCCTGTATTTTGTTTTGCTAACTATTACTGGTACAATCCAAGAATGCTTTTTGTCAGAGACGAGACATACATGGGATGTCCCATATACTCTATATTCTTAGTTATTCCATCTTTTCTATTAGGCTTTTTAAGGACTGAGTAGGTAGACTTGATTTTCAATCTTATAGGTATTTTATTGAGTATTATGTTCAGCCTTCTGATTATAAAACCAAGCTCCAACATTGCAAAAAACATTTCTTGAAATCTCCAAGTGAAAATTTTGCAAGGCATTGGTGATCAACTGTCAAGAGTTCATGATCATGCAGCCAAGCCAACTGGTAAGGTATCTTCTTCTCTCCAATCTTCAAGTTAAACTTCTCAAAGAAATTTACCAAGATATTCTCTATTCTTGTCCCATCGAAGATCATTGTGATACTTCTTTCGCTACACATTCTGATAGCTGTAAAGACACTTACATTGTGCAACTTCACCAAGTCGATTGATGCCTTCTCTAGTTCTTTGATTCCTTAGGGGAGCAGATTGGTTTCTTTTATCAAGAACACTTAGATTTTAGAACTTAGGGGGAAGATTGATCCAATAAATATTGGATCTCTATTATTTCAGGAAAGGCAAGATGATGTGGTGGAATAGAGATTAGAAGAAATAGTATGATTTTTTAAGAAAACTATGTTTGTGACAAAACCATCGCTCTTTTGAGGTACCAGTGAGCTACTCGGTGGATGGAATTGATTAATTTCTTGAACTTAATGGTTTCAACTTCAAATTTAAAAGATCAAGGAAGAGATAGCTAAAGAGATGTCAAGAATGAGATACAGGAAGGGCTGTTGTCATACGAAATTTGATAGAGAGCAGATGCAGGGGAAACTAGAATAATATAGAGGAAAACATAGACAAAGGCTTCAAGCCAAAACACAAACTTCCATTTGTATTAAACTGAAGGCGTAGTTGACTAACCTAATCAAGCAAATATCAATTTAATTTCTTATAGACAAATCAAAAAATTAGGATAGCTTCACAGCCCATAACTTATTGAGATAAGGCCAAGCAAACCATACTAATATCTCTAAGTAAGTACACAAGTAAGGCCAAAAATATCCAAAATAAACAAAAAAGTACTATCTGGATCAAGGTTCGTAGTTTTGGTTACCAAATGTGTGTGTTGATCCATGGCCAGACCAGTACTGATGTGGTCGTATTGCGAACCATTGGGGAGGGAGAGGAGGGGAAGAAGAAGGTAGAGAAAGCAAAGAAAGAAGAAGAACGAAAAGAGGAAAAAGGAAGAAGGAAGAAGGAAGTGAAAGTAGAAGGAAGAAGAGGAAAAAGAAGATGGAAGAAGAGGTGGAGAAGGAGAAGAAGGAAGCGTATTCAAAACCATGTTGACAACGTACT